TTAATGAAATTAGATTTTAGAATTGATTATCTAAACAGTAAATTTTGCGCGAAAGGCGTCGAAATCAATATTTCCAAGCCAAACAAATATTTCAAGTCTTGGCGAAAAAAACCCGATTCAGGGTTGCTTTTCCATCTTTAACGAATACGGAGGGAAGATAGATGAACAGCGTGGGCGGTCGGTGGCGCGTTAAAACAGTTTCTTCGACAAAAGCCATCGAGGCTCGAGGTCAGCCTCTTAACCCAGATTCCTAGTCGGAAGGCGAGAAGACAGCTGCTTTCGGTTACACACGATCAACGCGCTCAATCCATGCAATTCCCTGATCCATCCTCCCCGTGATTTCTGAAGAAAAATCCTGCCTCCGATTTAAATTTCCCTGCAAGACGACAAAAAGAAGAAGAAGGGAGGGACGACGCGAATAAAGAAAAAACGAGGAGGAGTGAAGAAAAATAGCAAAAAAAAAAAAAAAAGAAGAAGAAGAAAAGAAATATATTCCAATATAAGCGTAATAACTACAACGCTCGTGATACGATGATGGTGAAAGAATGGTCCAAATGAAGCCTCCTAAATTTCAACACCCTCTTCGACCACCTCCAACACTCTTCCTCCTTCGACTTCTCTTTGCCTCCCCTCCTCTCTCTCTCTCTCACTTTTTCCCCTGCTCCCTTTATGCCCTCGCCCCGGTTTTCTCGATACCAGAGCTCTCTCTCTCTCCCTCCTCCGTTCCCCACATCCAGTTCTCTTCCTTTTCTTCCCGTTCCTTTTCCTCTCTCTGTCGGCGAGCCGATGCCCTCGCAATCAGCCGGCAAAGTGGAGTCGCGCGCGGTGGCTGGAACGGCGTATCCGTGAAACACGCGGTGCAAGTGCCGGGGTGGCGATGACGCAAAGTCAGCGTGGGCCAATGGACTTGGCTGGTGTACGGGAGAGTGTTCGGCGGGCCACGATTGGGCGTGGCTCGAGCCGAGGGTGCGTCACGAGGGGTGCCCACCACCTTCGCCTCTCGCTGCGTGGGGGAATGCCAAAGTGTGCCCCGGGGTGTAATATCATACCGCTAGGTGGATAAATAGACGCACGAAACTAGTAGTAGGGAAACGAGTGGGGAACGAGTAACGAACAGAACAGCGGTCGAGGCGAGGGGAAAAGGAAGGAGATCGGGGGGAAGGAGGAGGAGAGAGAGAGAGAGGAGGAGTGGTACGGTGAAAGAGTAACCGGAGGATGACGGACACGCGGGAGAAGCGTGGAGGAGGGCGAGGGAAAGGGCGAGAGAAAGGGAGGAGGAAATGAGGAAAGGGTCGTGCACCGAGCGAGGGTTACTCAAGGGGGTTAGGCAGGAAAGACGAGGAGAGGCGAGACAAAGAGTGTTGGAACAGGACAGGAGGGATCGGTTAGACGAATAAGAGTAGGGGAAAATTGGGTGGCTACGCGATGCGAGCGAGACTAGACTAGAACAAATAATGGTTGTAGCCATCCTCAGCTTCTGAGGTATTTTCCACTCGTGCGAGTTGCACGCATTCGAACGCCG